AATTTGAAATTGTCGACCTTTTTAGTTTTTAATTTCGATCAGAATTTAATCGTTTTTAATGTGATAAAATGGTTGTATGACCTAAGCGCTAAAGATACAAAAATGACTTATCATTTGGGCCAAAATTAATATTTTATATAAGTATTAAGTAGGTAGTTATTTTAGAAATGTTTGTATTTTATATTTTATATTTTTATTTAAAAATGTCTATATCTTATAAAAATTATATTATATTAATATTATTATGTTGATAATAAATTATAATATAGGTAGGTACATGCACATCAATATTTAATACATTTAATAAATTAGTTGATTTTTTATAAAAATAAAATGTCGATGATAAATTATAATATACATGCACATCAATATTGACGCTTACACGGATGCTTACGAAATAGGTACCTCCTAACAATATGTTATAACACAAACTGCTTACACACTGTCTATTTGATAATCTATCGTAATCAGATAATACATTTGTCGATTAAGATTAAGCGTTTGGAGTTTTTGAGCGATATATAGTTCTAAACTTAATATCTGTTATTTAATTTCTGGCGCTTTTGTGCGATACGACTTTTTTTTTCTTATCTTATTTTGGCGCTTAAGTCTTCCACCGGATAATAAAATATAAGGTATAATACATATTATGCTTGTACGTAAGCCGCAGACCATACTCCATATTATATAGGCCATAGTATTTTAGTAGTATACTGATAATCAATATAAAGCCTACACGCAGTATACACCCGACACCCGTCAAACGGCGTAAAAGGGCCTCACTGCCCAAAATGCGTACGGACAGGTCCCGAAAAAAATCCCGGTCTCTCGGTTAGGCTTATCCGCTAAAATATAAATTATATTCAACTGTTACACTGCAACCAAAAGTCTATAACCCTCCACGTGTCACAACAACCGGCAGCTAATCCACTATAGGTTATTACTATATAAGTAATATTGTTGTGGTGTGGCAGTAAACGTGTCACGTCACATCACCGATTTTCTTCTTTCGACCACCGTCCACCGCAAACTCGCGAAAAAAACAGTTTTTTTTATCTCGTATTAAGCCTAAATTTATTTTACGGCTCGACGAATATTGCGTCGCCTTTCATCCATTTTATCGTCACTGACCCTTTTCCTTAGCCCCTTTATTTTAGGATATTCCTCGTCAGTCGTACCGCATAGCCCTGTTCAACACTTTCTATCTGGGCGTCTGGAGTTCGACGTTTTGTGAGCATCTGTGATCACGCTGGAAAATTAATTTCGTACGAAATCACGACATGTTGTTTGCCCACTACGAATGACCGCATGATTGGTTCCCATTGTCTACCTACATAGGGTCGTATTAAAACACCAAACTTCTCGTCGCGTAGGCGTGTCTAGACCTTCTTCGTAAGTAGCGTATAATAAGTTTAATAATATGTGAATGTGAAACCAGGTGGGGATAAGCAGTTTGACCCCAAGTTAAACGTAAAAAATAGATGATTGTTTCGGCACAAAAATCAATAATAACTAATCAAAGAGATAGAATTAAAAATTAAATATTTATATTTAAAAAGAACCTCGATATTATATTGATATCACATTTAGGTACAATTAATGTTCTGTCAAATTTCGCAGGTTGTACATCATTATATAAATTGGCACGACCTGTAGACGCGCCTCGGTGCTATATCCTCGCTGTATAAACAATAATGTACTAATGGGTACGCACTACATAATACATGAATTCATGTATAATGTATTATAATGATTTAAAATACAATGTTTTTCTCCCACCCTCCCACGGTATTGTTTTGATCGAAATTTAGAATTCCAGTTGATTAAATCGCGAGGCCATACCAATATATTACAGCACGAATTTGTTCTATAACAAACTATTACTTATTTATTATAAGTACTTGGGCGGAACTCTAAATAGCGTATCTAATACTCACAGTCGTTAGTCAGTCACACAGCTAATAATCGTAGCCGACATAATATTTCATTTTAAACAACTCAGTTTACAATAATTTGCACAGTAATATGAGTGTATGACAAAAGTAAATTTGATAAATGTATTGGTGTTATATAGTTCAAAGAATGAAATCCGTCGATACTGTATACGTATTGAATGTAATAGTATAACAACGATACATTATTCTGATTTTGGAGTTTCTAAAACCACATTGCAATTGAATCACTGACCACTGTGTCCATGTCAAAAGCTTAATACTTAAATATCTGATGATAATGTACATACCTATGGGTAATTAAAAATAATTAATCATATAATATAATAACTTATAATACACAAATATAAGTTCATAAAATCTTGAAGTACAAAATGGGAATTAAATGTAGAATGATTTCACTTAAAAGTCTCTAGGTTAAGAATAACCTAGATTTTATTTTCAAGAAATATATATATTTTGTGTTTAATCAATCTTTCCTACAATTCGTGATGCGTTTAAATGTACGATTGTTACCAGTTTGATATTGTTATGCTTATACCTATAGTAATGTCGCATCTGTATAATGTAATATTGTAATCACTAATCAAACTTTTCGTGTACTTAATGAATATCCATTCGATGAATTCGATTATAATGTTGTAAACGTTTTAGGTTCATATAATGGACACAAGTTTTGTACGTTTTTAAATGTAGGTATACTACCATTGGCTAATTTTTTGTGTAATAGTCATCAGAAAATAACATTATCATTGTGCCTTTGTGTACCTATTCATAAAACAAAATAATATATTAATGTTATGGAATAAGATGAGTACTAGCAGACTTGGATAGTTAAATATCAATAAACATTAAACATAATAGTGATACACGAAGGAATTGTCATACAGTCTACATAATATATTATAATAAATAGTGCACACCTGCAGCAGTTCAATTGAAACATGTGTATTTTATAAATATTAATAATTATTGACTTAATTATCTCACGACTCATATGACTGTGTATGGATAGTATAATATTATTCATTACATTTATAGCTTAATATTAGTATATTATTATATTATAATAACACAATAACACGACTATTTTCTGAGGGCGCCCTCACAGTAGTAACAAAGGTGCCATTGTCACCTGGTGATTTTTCGAACTGAATGTATTTTATAATATCTCGCAAGTCCCATATTATGGAATATGCTCATAAAGTTTATAAAATATTTCTAGGACAAATGTTTTATTTTAAGTAAAACGACGGAATATAATGATAAAAGTTGATACTTCCCTGGTAGGATTTTATCTTGCGGGCGCTTTTACTTTCACTAAAAGTTACCCGTGTAGGTAGTGTCAATTTAAAAAAAATATATACACGGTGAAATGGATAAAATTTGTGTCCATTACGGTATGATAAAAGTTCATAAAATGGGTATCTATTTCGTGAAGAAAAGTTCGATAACACTATGTGGTCGTGGCACTCTGATATTGGTATAATATCACATATACAACTTCTTTGCTTCACACAATGTTAGATTTTGAATTAGAAATATTTTTTATCAGGTATATAATCATTTTGGAAAAGTTACAACAATTCGGGGCAATGGTGAAATAAGAATTTTAAGACAGGTTGTATTATTTTATTTTTCGAGTGTTAAAAGTTCTTACATGTTTCGAGATTCATTTTTCTGAATACTACTTCAACATACGTCATCGACACGGTGTAATACAGTTGTTTGTCAGCGAATCTTTCACATAACAAGGCTCGATAGTTTTGAATGTGTAATCGAAAATTATATGACATTTTCAATGTCATAGTACACTTTATTTCGAAAATCATAAAAATAAAGATCGATTTTTTTCTCTGTATTTAATGGTGTTAGAATCCATGTGTATAAAAGCATAATACTGTCTTCAAAGCTTCGTGCATGATCATTAAATTCAAGAATCGACTAAATTGCAAGTTATACAAAAAATGCCAGAAAAAATGAGTTCATGATATTTTACAGATTTAGTTAATTTAATTTCAGCATTATAAAAATAATTGGAATTTCGATTTATTTTTAAATGTGCATTCGTCGTTTAAATTTTAAAATACTTAATAAGTTAATTAATATTAATAACTAATACGTAATTTGTGTGTTCCGCTGTTAATTGTATAGGAATAATAAAAACTATGAAGTACCTATTTCCTCACACATCATGATTGATTGAAATTGGTATATTATACTATATAGACATAATAGCAAGTTATTATGTTCATAAATTAAGAAATACTTTTTTATCGTGAAACCGAATGTTCAGAAACTAAGAAATACTTTTTACTATGAAAAATTAATCAGAAAAATGTATGTATCTATTTTAATGATAAAGCGGTTAAATGATTAGATTTCAGAACAAATAATTATAAAATAGTATGAATATTAAAAACTCAATATATATTACTATATGTGTACCTATTAACTGATTCACACAATTGAATTAAATAAATTATACAGAACGGTGCCGCCCGCAGTCACATACTGTAGAGCTCTAGAATATTAGAATTTAGAATATAATTATCAACGTAATTTATTATTTACTGGTAGTGCATAGATATTATAAGTAAGTACCTACCTTCAATTCTTTTAATGTTTATTGCTAACTCATTTTCATTATACAGTGATTTAGCCTTCATGACCCGTAAATTTAATTTTTTTGTTCGAATTTTTTAAGTAGTCATTTTGTACTGCATCCTGCGTATTATACACTTTAGTTCAGGTGTTTTAAAAGAATATTGATTCCGAACTTAATAGTTATTTAAGGTATTTTATAAATGTTATACTACGTTCTGCACCCAGTTATATTATGGCTGTTTCGCATAACATTATAATTATATTAACCTAACTAAAATTATTTGAGTGACACATTTTTTCGAATTGAAAGATCTCTGACGTTCTACCTATAATATTAGATATAATCGAATGCGCGTTTGAAATGCATACCATTGCTTGTATAATTCCATAGTGATTCCTTATTAGTTATTAATTATTATATATTGTTTTTTACTGTACAAAAAGTCATTCGCTTAACCCCGGTTTGCTCAATTTGTCTATGGCATGGCTTTGGCCGGGTTATTAGACTATCGATTAAATTTCATACAACAAGGTTACAAGCTGTAGTTGTCCACATGGTTTCTATTGGCAACATACGGCTTAAACAGAACTCCAGGAATACTTTCAGCATTTTCATAAATATGCTCCGACATATAATATGCATTTTGGTGCATTATCACGCGAATCAACCATATGGGATTGAATTACGACGAGAAAAATTCTGATTAAGTAAAGTAAGTCAAACAATTGTTGTAAATAATAATAATAATAATAATTTGTTTATTTAAACCGTATACCTATGGACATTTACATGGTGTATGATTTATTATGATCGCACTTCCATCTTGTGTTACCAAGGATAATTTGTTTGTTTTCATAGGAAAGAGTCTCTAAATATATGTTTGTATGGATAATAAAAATTGATTATCCTTAATCTAATAAACGTTATACTTACAATATCAATTAGTAACAAAGTTAATAATATTTATAATAATAGATGATAACGTGATATAGATAATAGTTAGTCTGATTAGTTAACATAATTACCTACTTAATTTGTAAATAATCATCTCCTTACTAATAACATAAAAATAACAAATATTGGACAATTTCGTATACATCAGAAGCTTTTCATTTAGTCGCCATTCAGTTATTATATAAAGCCATTATAGTACATGTACTTTGATTTCAGATTTTTTATGTATTTGTTTTTTGAAATATTAAATCGTCATATATATTGTTTTACATTTTTGGATGACTTATATAAAAATAAGTAATAGGTTAGGTTCATGATGCACAATACATGTTTTTTTAATAATATAATCGTTCTACGGCTTATATTTTATTTTTAGAGTATAAAAGTTTACTTAAAAAAAGTCTAGGTTTGTGATAAAGTTTTTTTAGAGAGGTGTTCCGTGCTAGTGTGCTAATATTGCATGTAGTTTATTTCGGTTTATAGCTCTTCCTCAGACCATTACCTATACCATATTTTTATTAAAGATTGATAAAAGGTATAGTGTTTATTTTTTAACCAGTAAATATTATACAATTAGTATACAATTTATGTAGTTTTGTATTAACTTTTGATATAATATGGAAGTTCCGTCGTGACTTGTGAATAACATTAATGCTTCTATAAATCCAATTAATCTGATCGTCTGTACTATATAACACAATAGTAATGTAGCACGTATGCTTATATTTAGTTGTTAATGTTAGTAAACAATAAAATGTTTATTTATTAACAATTATAATTGTAATTGTTAATGATTCCTAAAACGTTTGAACAGTAATAATTGTCATTGCTCGTTAGTAGTTATTACCTAACTGTAATTAATTTTATCTAGTTGTTGTGATTAATATTTAGGTATACTTTTACTTTCATTCTTAATTTGAACTATATGCTGAGCTAATATGATTAACATAGCAAAGATAATAACTCTCAATTATCAATGAAATATATAAAAAATGTCTCAATTCTAATTTTCTAATTTAGTGTGCCTTATCTTATTACTGAACAACTGAACACATTGTCTTAACAATTTTAATATTTTACTGTATCTTACATAGCTGTTGATATATTGTTCTTATACCAGCAGGTTCTGGTCATGCATTCAAAATAGATTGTGTGTCATAAATTGTTACCTAATTTGAATAATTATTATTTATTATATATTTGCATAAAAAAAAATCGGAAGTTTGTAGGTATAGGGGTTTCGGAAAAACGGACGTTTAAAAATCAGCATATAGCTTATTACCCATTCGCGACTGTTTTATCAAGATTTAACTCGGATTTTACAAAATTATCTGCGCATACTCATCTATAGGTCACTCGTATTATAATATGTAAATGCAATAAATTATTAACAACGTCAATGTAACGACCGTATAGAAGCGTATGAATAACTAAAATTCCTAAGACATAGCTTAAATTGTGTAAATAATATATAGACGGTGACAGAATTATATGACGTGTGTCTTGCCTTGACAAGCCGCCCTCGGCTCGTAATCCTCGGAAAACTGTTTCGTTGGGCTGGAATAGATGGATTGTACTCGCTAGTACAATGCTATGCTATAATTCGTTATAAATACCATTATATTACAATAATATAATAATGACAATATTTGTGACGGCCAGCTTTTCCATTTAAATCGACGGACGACGGAAAATATCGAGATTACCCACTCGCTGGTGTTTTCACGTGCCTATCAGCTATAATAGGTACACATCATTAGTGTACAACTTGGACCGCGGTCGCTATTCGAGGTGGCAGACTTAACAGTTTAAACCGCTAACAGTTATCACGGTTAGTGTTTCTCGATATTCTCGCTTGCGGGTGACCACGGTAACCGCGTATTTTCTGCTAGTCAGTGTCCGCGAATCTCGATCAAGCCGTTTTCACGCCGCCAGACGGATTACGAGCCAAGAGCGGCGCCAAGTCAAGACGCAAGTCATTCACCTACGTTATAATTAGGGCTATTATTTTAATGCCTTAAAAACCCCAAAAAATGTCCTAAAAAAATGCTTTTACGACCTAAAAACTCTAAATAATGCCCTAAAAATAAATGCTTTTATGATCCACAAATTTGTTTATTTTTAATAACTTTAGTATAAATTACAATAAAAAGTTTTAAAAAATGCATTATAAAAATCTATTACAAGTGTAAACTGTAAATACATAATTTTAGTATAAATTTAAAAAAAAAGTTGATTGTCCGATAATATAATACGAATTACGAGTACCTACTTATAATCTGTTATTTTTATTTAAAAACCATCTTGGTATAAAAATCTTAAAATCTTAAAATAAAATTTCAAATTCATACACTTAGGGGAGACCGATGCGTAATGCGGCGGAACAGCTGTACAAGGTTATAATGTAAATTGTCGGATTTGATTTTGCGTTTGTGTTCGTCGCGAATTGCAGTTATATATTTTTAATTTTAAACTATTTTTTTGTTATCTATTGACCAGGTATTGCATAAAATCATAGACAATTTCCTACTGTTGTAGAAATTCAATGAGTGTGCGGAAAGCGTCAAGACATAGAGGGCGCTTTTCGTTTACTAGTTTACTCTCGACATGTATGTCGTACATGGTAGTGCGGGGTAGTAGGGTGAGATCATCGTTTTGAAATTGTTTTTACTCGGTACCTATATATTACACATTTTTTTTGACGTCAACGTAGTTCAATATTCTCGGAAGGAATGCAAAAAATGGTGTTCTGGGAACAAGCGAGGGTCCGCAACGTGCTCTAAAAATATTATTCAGTCTTTCACTTTGAGAAATATTTGGAATTCATTTACTACGATATTAGTTTCAATATAAAATGTTAAACATTTTACAGTAATTTTTGTAAATGTTTATGAACAATAATAATCAATATGGGAAAACCTAAGTGAAAAAAAAAATATGTTACATTTATTTGATTCAATATTTTCACTTTCGCAATTGAATAAAATAATAAGACTTTAAAAAAAGTTTAAAGGTTAGACTGTATTATTGTGGTACAAATACTTATAGGTACCTACGCAAATGTGAGTGTAAATAAAGAGAGAAAAATATTTAGGATTTTGTGAACACACAAGTTTTATGGAAGTTAGTTGTATATAAAAAGTTTTTGAAAAGAAAATCGTGTTTTAGTGGTACTTTAAGTCGTATAGCGCATTTTATAGTTTTTTTGTTCATCAATATAGATATATATTTATGTATAGTAAAAATATACATTTAATATTTTCTTCAGTTTTTTATTCTCACATAGACCCACTATGATATCGGTGCGTTTTATTATAAAATAATTTTATAAGTTATATGTTATGAACTTATAACAATAAACGACATGTTACATGTATTTATTATTACAATGATAATAATAAGTCGGTATAATATACTTGTACATTAATTTAAAAGGTTATTTCGAATATTTATATCCGTTATAATCCAAACGATAAACCCGAAAGCCTTAAGCCTTTATAAAACCTTCAGCAATACTTGATAATATCTTTATTCTGTCTCGAAATATTATATTTAATCGGCATTGGTATGTGACAATCTAGTATAATAGATCGCAGAAAGACGGCATTATGATATTTTTCAATTATTTTCGGTCAAGCCGCAGCCCCCGGTGTGCACACCTGCAGCAGCCGCAGTACAAAATACGGTTCGGGTAAGTAGAAATATTTTACACACAAACGATCTCGGTCGGTAGGGGCGGCTACGGATTATATTCATGGTTTACCTGAAAATGTGTCTGACAAATGTTGCTGGGGTCTGGTTTTATGGCGACTATACATATAATGTGTTCGTCGTCCAAGGTAAAATATTATATTATAATATTACAAAAGGATGGAAAAAAAAAACGCAGTGGTTTTGGTTAGGAATTCAATGAATACGAAAACATGCCATTTCTCCACCCCATTGCTCCTAATCCTTATTAAATAAAAAAAAAAGCAATATTTTCGTATGACATAAAAATGTTTTGTTGTACACGGTATACTTCGTGCCTGCAGTTCTGTCTACATAATGATATTATTAAACTCGAGAAATAACCACTTTTCGGCAAGTGCGGAGACGAATGCGGTACGATATTATCATACTCGCACAACTGACAATATAATTACCTCGTATAAAAAAAAATATTAAAACAATAACACAATTACCAGCGAACTGTACACCAGTAAAATACATATTTTAATCTAAAGTTAGAAATTGTATATATACTATTATTTTATTCATTCGACACAACATGTACTGTAATGATGACCATCCGTGTAGATTTTATTGTTAACGCTTTCCTTTTATTATCATTTAAATGCACATACATAATGTATTATAATGAACAATTTTGGTACTTTTGCGTGTCTTGTACAATATTTAAACAGTTTCAGTAATTGCTAAATATACCGTGGTGGGCGATGGTGTCATGCCAGTTTATTTAAATTATAAGCTCCACGGTTGTTGGTTTCACTTGTAGGTATCCCATTCTTTTTTTACCAAAGTCCTTACTAATGCCATTAGTTTGTTTGCATATATTTATATGCTAGTTAACAAATATAAGTGTGTGTATGTCAGTGTGTGCAAAGAAACCCGAATAGCATTGTGTAAACTTTGAAAACTATCTTTAAGACTTTTTGAAGTTGACGCAAAAGCATCGGCATTAGTATAAAATCTAAGTTTGATGAAAAAGAAAATAATAAAAGAATGAAATAAGTCCTTCGACCTTTACCGTAAAGGAGACGTTGACTGTTGTCACATTATTCGTTGCACGTAAACTATTATTATACCAACTCACGGAGTGTAGTGTATATTGTCAGAAGTTACCAATACAAATGTTGATTCTTAGTTATTTCTGCAATTATTACACAATAGTACATACACATATTATACCTGCCGAATTGCGATACTGAGAATACAAAAAATGATTTCCACCATCTACATATTGAGAGGTCACGGCTGTTAAAAATATTTAAATATCGGCGAGATAAATTTAGGATTTATATAATTATAATTAACGATGCCAAATATTATCAATATATATAATCTACTAATTGTATTGTATTAAAATATATTATTATATTTTAAGTTATAACTATTTTAAGTTGTAACATACGTGGGTAAGATCCGAAAGGTATATTCCTAACCCCAATTTGCACGTGAGTTGGCTTAGCGTTGTTTAAAACAAAGAGACATTTGTAGATCTAGATTATTTTCGACATTTAAATTGAATAGTCGTGAAAATTCAAACAATCCAAACGTTATTCACAACAATAATTATCATAGAAAGATGATGCATTGTTAAAATGACGCAAACAGTTTGTCTAGTAAGATCAAAATAGATAAATTTGATCTGACTAGACAGAAAGATAAATGTGTTCACGTACATTGTCATTATAATGTGTATCTACAAGACTTCAACACAATATGCGTTTAATCACTGATGACAAATCATTTACAATATGATAATAAATAATAATATTATGTGGTTTTTATGTTTTAGTTTATACTTTTAGTTTATTATCACACAGTCAATGGATAAATTTAATTAATTTGATTAAGAAATCACAGACCTTAGATTTATTTTTTTGGGCGATGAGTGGGGGTTGTATGTTAGGTATTATTATTATAAGTATTTACGTGTTATTTTGTTATAACTTATTACTCGTGTAGATATGAACATCTTTAAATAGATTTAGACGCTTATTATTTAACCTCCTACCTGATATTTTCAGGAAAGATATCTCAATAATTAGCATTTTATGGACATAAATATACATAATATTGAAATGTATTTGGTTTTTTTAAGCTATTAGATAATAATAAATATATAATATGTAGTTTAAATGTTGACATTTTTTTTTAAACAGATTCTTGTGTTACCTAAGTAAAAAAGCTTATATACGATTGCTCTTATGTAGTTCTTACAGTAATTAAAAAAAATACGAGTATCATATTAAAATACACGGTTCTGTTTTTTTTTATAATCGTGTTGGGGGTTCTAATTTTGAAAAAAATTCAAAATCACGATAATGTGTTAATTATTTCGTAGTTGAAAATTGGTTTAACCATTAATAAAATATCAGGGTTGAAAAGGATAAAATCTATGGATTCACAGTTTTTTTTTAAATCACGTAGAATCAATTATATTATAAACGCGGTATAATATATAGTTATACCTATATGGCTGAATGTTAAAAAACATTAAACAACCAATGTAAACGATTTAATAATATAACGGAGTACTAGGTGCTTAATTATTGTAATTAGAGTACCTAATTAAGGTAAAATGTGCCATATAGGTATACGTATAAAACATGTAATTAATAACGACGATGTCAAGTGACATGAAATCAAAAATAGTTAAGAACATCACTATGCAGTAGGTACAATAATGAATAATGGTATATTATAGCGCCACTTACATTATATTGACTTTTAAATAATTATTTAATTAAACGCTCTTCACTTCTTTTATTTTTAATCTTTTCAACACACAATTATTTCAATATAATATATATCTATTATACATATTTATATAAACCTCCGCGATATGCTACTGAGTCTGAATAATGATTGAAAAAGGTTACTGCGCATTCTCCAACCCAATTTTATGAAACATTATTAAAATACCTAACGATAAATAATTCATATTATGATTTGAAATAGGTAATATTTAATTTAATTTTTTGTCGATTTAAATATTGCATCAAATTGAGATAATTAATTTAAACCTTATTATTTCTATAATTATACATTCTTGAAAAGGAATTTACATAGTTTGTAAACTTTAACACGCTCAACTAACTATAACAATATTATGTGTTTAAATTATTTTATTTTACTATTCATGTTTTTAAGTTTTTTTCTCCATAATGTATATTTTCATATAATACATTTTTTAGAAAAATGTACTTATTATAATTAAGCGAGTATATTAATGCATGTTGCTTTTTAAATAAAACATTATTGTCAAGCAACTAATTAAAATAATTAAAATTATTGTAACCTTGCATTATAGTTGTGATATTTTATCACAGGATATTTTGGTTTTAGGATGTGTTGAAGCATCGATTTGTTCCATCTGGCACTATTCTAATTTCTTCACACGGTATAACCACTCCATTTTCAAACGGCGATAATCCGCTCAATAAATCAAAACTTACCACGAAACATTTTCCTGAGAAATCCCACTGTCTCTTCTGTACATATTCTGAATCGCGCAAAAACATTTACCTTATACGGAACTCGTGATTTTTTTAAATTGTTTTCAGAGTTCAATTAGAACACAATCTGCTGCATTGTAGATAAGAAAAGATTTCGAATTATAACTCTCGCGATAGAGTTAAATCAATATTATAATTTCGTACATTCTGGTCTCGTCGTCCATAAATACGAAACCTATAACCTTAACCTTAACCGCGACCGGCATAACCTGATAAAAAGATTGGTATATTAAAACCTGGCTACACTTGACTTAAACACCGGCAGTCCGACTCAGTGGCGTTCTCAGAATTTTTTTATGGAGAGGGGGGGTGGGGGGGGGTCTGAAAATGTACTTGAATTTAAAAGTGGGGGGTGGCAGAGCCCCCCACACCCACCGTATAGTCATAATATTTACAAATCGTGTGTTATTATGTATAAAATAATGCAACCAAAAACTAAGCTTTTCAACATTCATACTTTAATAATCATTTTAAAACCATAATAATTTACCAAACATTTCAAAACACAATACTTTCAACTTTCAACTTTCAGTCCATGATCTCTATCAATTCTCTTTACCGTTCTACACTACTAACTACTTCTGTAACTGGTCAATTTATAGCATATTTTTAAGATATTTTATTTCACTTTTTATTTAAAATATAAAACAATTGTATAAATCAGTTTTAATGATATATTTTGATTATTAATTTTATGTTTAATTCAAATTAAAATAGTTGATTATCAGCATTGTTATTTTCAATAGGTTCACTTGTAATAGTAGAAGTAGAATCGACAGCTTTTTTTTCGAGAAAAAATTTAAAATACCACTACTATTTCTTTTCATTTTAATAAATCAAACAATATTCGTACAATCGATAGAATAGAATAGAACGTCAGGTCGTCAGAACACAATTGTGAATTGTCACTTTTTAATTGAAAAAATACGAAAACGTTTATGATAACAAATTGTAAGTAACCGCAGATAATAGATAATATAGATTAAGTCTGTGTAAATAACCAGCCGAAAAATGAATCACATAATACGGATTATTGATTAACGGTAATAACGAACCACACTTTAGTTAACACATAGAGTAATAGCATAATAGCATACGTAATATGTTTGTAAGTTGTTATCACTGCGTTGTTATTACTATCACAATATCATAATATATCAATAATCGCGATAAAGAAAAAATAAAAAAATAATAACTTGTCACAATTCACAGACATAATATTATAATATCAAAAGTAGACAAAACGTGTATCACTAAAATGTAAGAAAATAAAGATCCTCCGGGGGGGGGGGGGAGGGATCTATCCCCCATATCAACCCCCCGCGACAACGCCCACGGTCGAACTCGATATTCATATTGAGTATTTATTTTTTGATTTGTGTGTGCCATCAGACGGACCGCCATCGCGCCGGTCGCATGTTCGACGGGGTCGACGGCAGCAGCGGCGGCGGCAGAGACGGCGGCGGCAGTGGCAGCAGTAGCGGTGGCGGCGGTCACATGGACGTCAAAGTGGTGTACGCCAACCCGAACGGGACGCTGTCCATAATGCCGGACACGGCGGCCGGCGCGTCGCCGTGGCGCCCGTCGTCCGTGTCGCTGGCCGCGGCCTACCTGACGCTGTCGTCCGCGGCCGTCGCGTCCAACGTCATGGTGCTGACCGGCATCGTGACCGCGGACAGGCTGCGGTCGCCGTACGCGGTGCTCGTGTCCGCGCTGTGCCTGCAGTGCGCCATGGACGCCGCGGTCGGCCACTGCGCCACCACCAGAGAGCTGCTGGCCGGCGGCGGCGGGGGCGGCGGCGGCGGCGGAGGGGCCACCGTGTGCCGCGGCGTGGCCACCGTGACGGCCGCCCTGTCCGCCGTCGAGCTGGTCACGTTCGCCGCGCTCGCGTGCCTCAACGCTTTCGTCCGGCCCGACTACGCCGAGCTGCCCCTGCCGGCCGCCGCCACCCTGTGGGCCGCCCCTTCCATGTACACCTACGTCATACTCACGCCAACGCTGCTGTTCACCACTCGGTATTTCCCGTCAAGGTACGTATACACCGCCGCCCGACGTATGCGACAGGCTGTCGCTGCACGGTTATAAGCGCACGGGACGCTTTTTTTTTGCGAGCGAATCGACCGGATTCGAGCGAATCGAAGGATATAGAAATACGAAAGAGGATCGCACCGATCGGGCGTAAACAACTCCGCGCGATATCGTTGGCCGCGTTTAAGTAATTTTGGAACCGTATTCATACAGAAAATGTATGATAAAATTATTACAATACATTTAAAGCTTCTGTTCACATGTTTCTTATCTTAATCTTAAGTCTTTATTATTTATGAACGTATTTTCAAAATTGAATAATCATAAATTCCATACACACGTAGTAATACGAGTTTTAAAGTTCTGGCAGGGGGTGGGTAGAAGAGTTTACTTGTATAACATTATTGCATAATCATTAGGTGATATTATACACATAGAACAAACATGTTCTAATGTTCTATGTATATAATATCGTTGGAAATATACGATAATGGGCATGACCTAAACAGAAAACTACTAAATACTTAAAAACTTTGATATTTTTCATTTTATCACTGTTTGCAGAGAAAATTCTATAAGTTGTTATAATAATATAACAACATCTAAGTAATAAATATCAGGGTTTCAATTAATACGTTGTGCATATTATTAGGTATGTCAAAGTAAAATTATAAATTAGTTATAAAAACTTCACTTTGGAATGTATAATTTGTATAATATGTTATTAACAGTAGTTGTAACCGTAGAAGAACAATTGTTCTAATAGATTGTTGATATGAAACAAAAATTACGTTTTGTGGAAAATTAAAAAAAAAATGTTTAACCACCGCCTTGCATTTTATAACCCATAATCATTTTAATCAATTCATTTTTTCTACGGCAAAAGCGTAGCTTAATTTTGTAGTGATGCATTACTTATTGGACATATACAAATATAATTAAGTTTTGAATAGTCAAATTTTCGTATTTAATGATTTGAATAAATATGTATATTTGTAAGTGTACAAGTCGATGAAACAATAATTACCAACCTACCAACAAATGACGAAAACCCGCACCAAGTATATGAAAAAAATCTATTCAATCTTCAAGTATTTCAATTCCCAGTTGGTCAACTTGTTGTTTGTGAACGTATTACGCGAATCTCAATATTCTGTGGAAACAAATTATTTTCCCGGATTTCCAATTAGTGTTTTCGAAAATGTAATTACTTCATTTAAATTTAATTATTTTGTCCAGATTTGATGACATTGTCAATTCAATCATTTTATTATTCTCATTTCTATTTAAAATAAATTCTTTAAAGTAACTTATATCTATAATCTGTATAATACATTATTAATAATAAATCAGACAGTTGAGAACCAATTCATTTTAGAAATAAACAAGCTACAACAGTTGACTTAAGATAATTAGTCACATATACACAAAATTAGAACTGATGAGAAAATTATTAAAAAAAATTGATTTAATATTGATTTCACGATTTTTATCAACTGAATATAATAGTTTTCAGCCAAATCAAATACCTAGTCACCTACTTGGCTACTTATATTTAAAATTATATTTAGTAAATGAAAGTATAATTTTAAAATGTTTTTTTTTCAGGGGTCGTTGCGGCTTCATTGCAAATACAACCGGATGGTTTTATCCATCTTTATTGATTGTTTTCAGTTTTATGATACCGTGGTCGATATCATTTTATTTTATATTTGTATCTCGACCTTCAACGACTACCAAATCGACCAACGCCATAGTGACACCCACCCAAACAAGAAGCCAAATCCATCTTGTGCCGTCCAAATTAATATTCGCATCATATACAATTCTTGTAACACCAAGTCTTATTTCGTCAAGCGTTTACCTTTATAGCGACCCGAATGTCAATCCTTGGGCCGAAAACGAAGCACCGGAAGACATCTTAGATGGGTACTTGTCAAAAATGCCAATTCTGTTTGACGTATTTGTGCCGTTGGTCCTAATATACTATCATAAAGTGTTCAGAAAAAAATGTAGGGAATTATATTTGCATGGGTTTAGGAATTCCGTCTCAGACGGTCGTCAAATATCTATCGAAAGACTGAGCCGATCGAGAAAGAACGAACGTTTGGCCGATGACGCACCAGTATTATTTCTCGAACGGTCTGGTATGATAAACGTAAGGTTTCCGAGCGAAGAAGGCTTTATGATGAAGGTATGTGATTTGAATCAAAAAGAGGACAGCAATTCAAATGGTAGAAAAGAAGTCCGTTTTTCGAGAAAAGTAAGTAAAGCTCCTAATGAAAATGTTTTATACAGTACAAAAGAACCATCAGACGAAGAGTCGAGCCTTTGAAGGGAAAACATAAATATTTACAAAAGTAAAGCGTGTACTAATTTATTATAACACTCCACATTTAACTGATGTATAACTATGTGACTATGTAATATAAAATATGTATCATAGTATGTAAGGTAGAACAAATTATAAAATTATAATTGAGTCTTTGCATTTAAAGCTTAATATAACTATCGAAAAACGAAATCAAAATTATATTATTTTAAAATAATTTCAATGTATAGACAAATGAAAATGTAATGTGTTTTATTAGGTAAAATTTGTTAATTGTAAACATTTAAAAATAATTTATTTTATTATTATTATTTCTTATTACCAACCGTAAAAATAATTGTGTACAGTTTTTATAACGTCTTAAATAATTGAAACTGTATTTTTTACAAAGACAATATATTTTTTATTCATACCCTAAATCTTTGATTACCAATAAAATTTGCTGGTTGCTGGATACCGAATAGTTGACCTCCGTCTGCAAATCCTAGAGCTCCGCCAAATCCTTGGTTTTGATATCCATATCCTAGCTTCTGATACGGATTGAAAACGTTTCCTCCTTGGTACCCGTTCCACCCTAAAGTGTAACCCTGACCATTAGGTTGGGAATACGGTAGGACGTGACCCGAGTATTTTCCTTGATCAAATCCTTCAAATTCGTGAGCGAGACCCCTCTGGATGTATCTGTTCCCATATTGGCCGAATGATCTGAGCGCCATGAGAACAACATAGACAGTGGTAACTAGAATCTATTTATTTTTATATTTTTTTAAATTAGTGAGTTAGTATAAAACGCAAAATTATAGATTAAAATAAAACTATATTGGTGTATAATAGAAGAGAGCAGTAAGTATGAGATTTACCTTTGTGTTTAAGTCCATTATTCTGGTATTATTTTGAACGTGGATGGTTGATAACTGGTAGCTGACTCGAAACCGACTGAAGATCAAAACGACTGACACTCTGAAAATGATCCGAACCGAAATTAAGAGCGTACTTATATAGGAAATTATTAAACCATGTACATGCAAAAAATATATATAATAACTACCTGTTGGATAACAAATGACAAAACAAACTTTCCAATTTGGATCGATTAAAGTAATTTTGGAATATATTTTTAATACGATTCACCGGATTGTATAATAGTTAAAACACCATAAAATCGGTTTTAAAACGTTATGCTTTGATTTTTTTTATTTAAATACATAACATTATAACTACGTATTTTATTTTTGTTACTTATCTATTATTTAGAATCGAATCAATAGTCCTACACACGACATATTGTGGGTTCATAATTTAAAATATTTAACACATTACAATTCTTTTAAATTAATATTCCTCATTTGATATTTTTAATCGTCTGATTCGCACGATTCGTTTGATCACAGCAGCTCAATTTTTCGAAGAACGATTCCAGTTGTATATATTGAACCAAGGCCGAAATAATATTGTACAGATTATATATATGACTCCTGCAGATTCCTTCTGGCAGACTACTGAGGAACAAGCCGTCTGCACGTCAAAAATAATATATTATAGTATTATACCAAGGAGAATGTCGACGTAAAATTCAAAACGTCAACCTCAGAATCAATATAAATCGTGTCAGTGTAAAAAACGAAGCGGCGGATTTTGGCGAATTGAAAATCGTCCTTCGCGAAGCCCACGGGGTGTCCGCGTTCACCGTAAATCCTGCGCAGGATAGTGCTGCCGCAGGAGCGATGAAAATGCAAAGGTCGTGCAAATGAAAATGAAAATGAAAATGCAAAGGCTCATTACAGTCACGGTCGATCGTGAGCAATACGAAGTCAATCGTATCATCGAAATGTGTGAGTAGGTACGGCCGCCTTACGAACACACTTCGATTTTCGTTTAGTGTTGTCAGTCCCAGGGACGGGCGAGATACTCAAAAATCAGTATCGCGATACTAGATACTCGGTACTTGGCTTTGGAATATCGCGATACGAGATAATCGATACTCGATACTCAAAACATTTTATTGAAATTAGCCACTGGATTTTTAAAAATGATGTTTTTATTATTGTGGGGATGGCCACTTCATTGAGTAATTAGAATGAAAAATAAAATAAGAAACATTGACACTTTCAGTAATAATAATGATACATTAGTAATAAAACAAAATAAAATAAATAACATAATATTATATTTTATATACAACCATTACACCACTAACTTTTCAAAAGTGGTTTCTGACGAGTAAAAATAATCGTAAACAATTAATTTTTCAAAGTATATAGCATTAATGTATCGAGTATCTTTCGATTAAATTAATTCATGAAATACTCGATACATGATACTCGATACTTCACATAGTTGTGTCGAGATACAAGATACAAGATACAATTGTATCTAAGATACGTATCTTGGATACTTGTATCGAAGATACTGCCCAACCCTGGTCAGTCCCGCTTGTGTTTATTTATTTACAGAGTATATGCGGACACGGACATGACGTTATCCATTATTCCGTTTTGTCCAGTACCGAAGTGAGATTACTTCGAGCGACCGGCCGACGACCACTGTACTTGGAAATCACGCACGGCGTTATAACATAATTATTATTCCCCCCCTCCCCTCCCTCGGTAGCGGCGTCTGTCGCTAACGGATTTCGGCTCAGTAACCGGCGGCGTGCCGTCTCCGTATACTCGTGCGACTACCGAAGTCGATGATATAATATTTCTAATTATTTTCTATTTATTATTATACTGCTGTTGTCGTCGCACAACGATACATTTTTTCGTTCGTCTCGACTGCGGTGTGCACGACAATATTATAATAAATAAATAAATAAATAAATAAATCATAAATCACAATAATACTCATACGGTGTAGTTATCGACGAATAACGTTATTGCGATGACGGCGATTCGAAAAAAATATTTCATCTCCTCGATTCTCTCCGAAACAGATTACAGTCATCCCTTCTTTTGGACAAACTTTTAACCCGAGCGTCTGATGTTATGTGCGCCACCGCTAGATTACGCCATGTTGTTGAGATTATTCGCAAATATTGTTGTATTATTGTAACTCGTGTCGTACCGTTCGATGTAATAAAACCCGACAATATATTATTATTATCATAATATTGTACGGCTCACAATAACATTAGACTGTCAAACAGTAACATTATGACATCGTTGTCTATCGGTCTTGGCTTCGTGCGCTGCTTATTTTTTTTCAAATTTTTTCCGCACGCCGCAGATAAGAATATTATCGAACGCTGGACCTAAAGGTGGAATTTTTATGCACACAATGAAAACCGCTTTCGGACTGATATTATACAGCTCAATCCCCCCCCCCCCCCATTAAATGGAAAATATTGGTTTTGCGTGAGCTATGGCGTTGATCGGTGGTTTTCTTCACCGCTTTAATTATTATAACAGTGATCACTGATTATTATCATTACCTGCCTGTAATACTGCTGTGTAATGACATAATATTATTCGAAATGGGAAAATCGTGTCATTAAAACATTTTATTTTTTCACATTATTGAATCATGAGAAATTTTGATTATTAACTTTTTTTTGTCGTCGCCGAAGTAACCGCTGCAGAATACTTAATAGCCGGTACCTGACTCGGACCACTCGAACAAAGAAAATTCTGATTACGTGACTTATTGGACTGAATAACAATGTAAAAAAACGAAATATATACGAAAACTCTGTAAAATATAACTCAATGAATTGTACCTACCTACCACCTGTCATTATTATCTACGGGTAGGAAATATAGGAAATTACAATGCTACACGAAACTATCAGGAAGCGTTATTGTATTATTTTTTGAATAATTACGTTCAACGAATTGAATGGACGCGAGTTTCGCACTACTAACTAAGTTAATTCGACAATTTTATATCACACTCACTTGGAAACCAAACGCCAACCGAGATGACTGATGACTGAAATAAGATTTAGATTGTATATAAATATAAAAACTGTTACTACGGTTAGGCCTGGTCATCATTTATTTTGAACATTTTATGTCCTCCAAATAGTCTATATGGTGGTGTACACAATATGAAGTCAATGTATCGTCGTAAATCCAAATTTTACGATAAAACAATTATAATTTATACTATAACGTGTGATCAAATTTTGAACAGATATCGTTTTTTTATTTATTAGTTGTAGAATGAATTGAATTTTGGAAAACTCTTTATATTCAAAGAATTAATTACTAAACTGTCAAAATAAACTCGGGAATTAATTCCTTGTTGCACAGAGTAAAATAATTGATAAGAGTTTAGAAAAATATAATTAATTACTGTTTATTGTTGCTTTAGTTATGAAGTACGGGGTATCTTAATTTATGTTTTATATCTACCTACGTATAATTTATAATATTGTTTGTGAGATTTTACTCGCGATAGAACTTTTTTGTGTACCTACGAAAAGATTGAAAACTTATCTCATACAAACACAATGACGCGAGTAAGAAATTAATTTACTAATGTAACTTATTAATTTTTCTAGTTCAACGTAATTTTTTAGAAACGTCTCAACGGGGCTATAGTATTGGTCATCCATTGATAAGTGGTTATTGGTCCCGATAAAGCGCACGGTGTCTTAAAAATAAAGAACAATTGATGTTCATTGATATGAACGTTTATGAATTAAAGTTAACATTTTTTTTTCTTAAATATCTATTAAGACTTAGTGTCTGTTCTTTTGTTATTGTAGTGGGGGCATATAATGTACTTATCTGTTTAGTTATTCAGTAATTCACTATAATTATGACAATCGGTAAGCAATGTAAAATGTATTCTATGTATTGCTATATAATTTTTTTTTTTAATTCGAATCAAGAAAACGGCTTGTACCCTTGAATTTATTTACCAATACACCGTGTTACATATTATTTTACATTACGTAATTGCAAGAGACGCTGAAGATTGAGGAGGAAGTGTGAATTAAACGAATTTTATTAAGCTTTACGTCCCTACTTAAAACGCGTACATGCCTGTACAAAGATAGTGCACACAGCTGGACCGTAAAACTGTACCGGCTCTTGAAAAGCGTAATTTATGCTCCGGCACATTTGGGACCGAGAGCTTGGGTCTAAATTCTTCGAATCTATTCAGGGCGTTGTACAATTTCGTGGCGATTAACTGCAGTCTAATTTCATTTTCAACCCGGTCGGCTTATTATTCGTCATGATTCACATCCCGTCTTGGTTTTCACCTTGTTATTACGACATCCCGTGTTTAAGTACACGTGTGCCGGTGATCATCATTGTACACTGCAATATTTCATTGTAACACGGCAAACCGTTATTTTTTTGCGAATTTTCAATTCACCATTTCTAGCACTGATAATATTCGTAAATATACATTGGATTGGATTGTCTTAAACTGTTTTACATAGCATATTAATTGCAGGTCATCACTCATTTCGTCCACGACGTACCAATCATCAGAATATTTAAACCAGAAAACAGTGTCTTTATTTACATTACCATTATTCGATACCCACTGTACAATATTATAATATATTACTGTTTACTATAATTTATGATATACCTACGAATAGGCTCGGCAAAATACACATTAGCAACCACTTTTTGGAAATTTTTACCTTGAAAATAATAAATCCTATAGTTTAAAAATGTCATCGACCAGCCTCATAAAAGTCGGCATATTCAAAACATGATAATATAAAGATGATAATTATTAATAATTAATTAGTTATAGTTATTACAATAATACAACTCAAGTATTATTAGGTACACTGAGGTGATGTGCATTATCAATAATTGGCTAGAACGAATGTTTTTCATGACGATCGTCTATACCTACTCGGGGCTAGGTATAAATAATTGAGTCCGAAGTACCATTTTTGTGGTAGGGTATAGGTAAACTGAGTCCCGATCGAATTAGTTTCCAAAAAGCACATTTTCCGTTATGCCCGTCAACTATAAAA